TTTTATCTCAAAATTCTATGGTGTAGTTTTCATTTTATGGCAGAAAATTGGGTTTTCCATGCATAATCTATACAAAATCTGTCAATTTTGCACAACCTGTAGCGTGAAAATAAGGCCCGTGACCCATTCTTTTTATTATTTTTTTTTAAAAAGCATGGTATAAACTACATTTTGGCAAATTATTAAAAAATTCTATGGATTATAATTTAGACACCCCATCTACCTTAAGGGACTATTATTTGATATTCTAGGGATGGGATTTTGATTGATTGGTGTTTAACGCTACTTTCAACACTATTGGTCTATACCGTGGTGGTCAGTTTAATTTATAGATGAAGGATGGGGATTGGAAGAGAGGGCATTATTATTCATTTTAATGTGTCGCTAATCATGCCTATTTTTCAGCTCTTATACCAGGCAACCATATTCATATATGAAATCCTTCTGTCCCCCACCCCAACAAATAAATTAATATCAAATGGTTTTCCTCTTATTTAACACAAGTTTAAATTGATTGATTGTTTGTTGCTAATTTTTAACGCCCAGTGACAAATATTTCATGCTTGTTCGGGAAAACACGAGTTTAGAAGTCAGGTATATAATATAAAAACGAAGAGATTGGATATGATTGCTAATAAGGTAACTATCCACCGGAGTTCAAATATGAAGTGGATGTAAGCAATTATAGACAATCGTAATGCCTTCAACAATGACAAAAACATATTACTGTAAAGTCGTCTTTAAAAAGCCCGACATGAAAAGTGTTAACAATTGAAACGAAAAACTAAAGGCTTAATTATACATAGCAAAACAATTTACAAAATATCAAATATGAGTCGAGACATGAACCAACGACAACCATTAAACTACAGGCTCCTGACCTGGGACACGCAAATAAAGAATATGACAGGGTTAATATAAAAACGAAGGTGTGGTATGATTGCATATGAGACAACTCTCCAAATTACACAGAAATCAACAGCTATAAGTCACCGTACGGCCTTCGACAATAAGCAAATCCTACACCGCATAGTCAGGTATAAAAGGCCCCGAAATCACAAATGTAAAACAATGCAAACGAGAAAACTAACGGCCGAATTAATGTACAATAAAATGAACGAACCGCAAATATTTATAACACAGCGACAAAGACAACCACTGAATTACAGGCTCCTGACTTGGGACAAGCACATACATACAGAATGTGACGGGGTTAAACATGTTAGCGGGATCCCAATCCTCCCCCTAACCTGGGACAGTAGTGTAACAGTACAACAACATGTTTGTGAGCACTCAACCCATCCCGAAGCTCTGACATTGGTGTAACAGTCCAATAAAAGAACAACCTGCACTAATCAGTTGCAATTAGATTAACTCAAAAGATCGGAAGGAGACACACAAAAAAACCCTAATATTAAGACAATAGACACAAAGCACCGACATAAGAGTATTTGCAATTACTGGAAGTTTGCTCAAAGCTAATTACAACTAGTACTGAAATAAATCTTGTTCTCCCAGATTGAAGTATTAATCAGTACACAAGTAAAAAAAGAAAACAGTCTGAGAAACGTCTGGTTTACGTTGTATATAGATATAAGAAGATGTGGTATGAGTGCCAATGAGACAACTCTCCATCCAAGTCATAATTTGTACATGTAAACCATTATAGGTCAAAGTACCGTCTTCAACACGTAGTCTTTGCTCACACCGATATTCTGACGAGTTTTTTAATTCTTGGTCACTCATGTTTAGAAAGAAAGGGGAGAAATCCAAACAATTACAGACCAATCACAAACGTTGTTGCAAATTTGACCTTATGACGCCAAAGAATTTCCCATAATGCAATTATTGCATATAAATAAAAACCTGCTTTACCAATTGAATAAAAAATATTGCATTTGAATGACAAATTATACCATTTGAATAAAAAATATTGCATTTAAATGAAAAAATATACCATTCAAATAAAAAAAAATGCATTTGAATGACAAATTATACCATTTGAATAAAAAATATTGCATTTAAACTGGGACTATTATACTAACGGAACTGGAAACTGATCGATCTGTTGAGATTTCATTGCCCCGATAGCGGATTATTGATTTTTTTGTTTTGATTGACAGCTTATCGTGTCACGTAGTAAATTAGCATTCGGTTCACAAAATTAAACAATAGATTTTGGTAAACAAGTCAGCATATATATAATACTGTGAAAATTGGTGGATTTGAAATAAAAAAATAATTATTAAATTAATTAGTTTAAATGCTAAAAAATATATATTGTTTACGAAAAATTATTAATAAGTAGTCAATATATTAGTGTTGAAAATAAACCAGATATAGTCGAAATGCCGGCGCTTTACTTGACCGCTAAGAAAACAACGTGTCAAAGGTTAACAGATCATAATTAATCCTGATAAAAACAATAAGTGTGCAATAAAAACAATGTTTACAATTTCAGTTCATAATTAATTCATATAACAAAAGTTACCCGGGTCTCATAAAGATATAGTCACATTGTTTTGAACTTTTGTGAACTTCGTGTTTACACCAAAATTTCAATATGGCTGTGAATGGGCCTACTTTTGTAGTTCTAATTATGGAACCTAGTGTACATATTTTCACGAAGTCATTTGCTAATGCCACCAGAAGACCATTACTAAGCAAAATTAACCCTGATTATAATAAAAATATTGTACACATAAAAAGGAGTAGGTAATTTTATAGGAATAGTATAATTTATTTGAGCCGTGCATGTGGGTTCCGGTTGTAATGAGAAAGAGATTTATATTCCACTTTTTATTTTAAATATAAAATATGACAATAAAAATAGACAAATCCAAACTATAACCTATAAATATGATTTTACAACAAACCGAACTTGCGTATCTCTTTTTAATCAACAGTTATAAGAAATTTTATGAATCATATACTTTTTTCCACATCGTCCCCACGTTATTTTCATCCTGAAAATTTCAATATTTATGTGTCATTTTTTACACTTAAGACGGGATTTGGTGATTAATAACAACTGTCAAAGATCGAGATATCTTTTATCATTATAGTAATCATGTTTATATTAAGGATTATCATTTCGAATAACTATAAAATAAAAAAAACAAATTACCGAAATTATAAGATCAATGCACGCTGTCACTGTCAAAACAATATGGCGTATCGTTAAAGAGCGCAGGTAAAGTCTCATTCTAACGACCGTGATGTTGATATCATTATACTGATTGGTGTAACGGTTTCCAGTCCCGTAAGTATAATAGTCCCAGATTTAAATGAAAAATTATACCATTCAAATAAAAAAATATTGCATTTAAATGAAGAAATATACCAATTAAAATAAAAATATTGCATTTAAATGAAAAATATCATTTTTTTGCAACCAATACCATGCCATAGCCCAAGTCATATTTATGTAACTGTAAGAAGTAAAATGTACTTATTTTACAGTCCTTGAGTCGCTCCAGGATAAAACTTACGACTTCCACTCCCAAAGCAAGCTAATATAGTGGCTAATAATGAAATTGCGCGACAGAATAGTCGATGTTCTGTCAACATACATGCTCATACTCCTGTAGTTTTGATATTATACATTTACCACTATGATCATGCATTGTCTTCTTTGGTTTGAAAGTTTTTTTCAGTCGCTATACATTTTCCTCTTTAGTTGCAATGTTATGCTTACAGGAAAGTCTTAAAATAATTTTTTTCAAAATTAATTTTTCTTTTTATTAGAATGTAACTACCAGTTTCTTTAAGGGCATGCGATACAGTTTTGAACCCACGGTGATCGTTATACAAAAGTTGCATACATGCTATTTGTTTACCTGATCAGTTCAAAAATACAATAAAAACTATACCTTGATGTGCTTACTTTTAGAGATAAACGGGGTCGAAATTTTAGATATTTATTTAATTTGATTAACATTTCTGTTCTTTCGGCAGATATGTACCTAACGTATTTGTTTCAAATGAAAAACGCTAGCAGTTGTATCGTATGCCTTTATTTAAGGTGGTACCAAACACCTTCACTAAAATTAATTTGGCTCATTTAATTTTCATAAAATTTTGACAAAATATTTACTTTGACCCTTTGACGAAAATATAAAAATTTCAAAAAACTTGAACCACACACTTTATCGGAAAAATTTCATTGGATATATAGCAGTTTGACAAACACTAATTTTGATCATTGAGAAGCTTAATATTTCCTTGAGTAACAATAGAACGTGATTAAAACGTTCAGCTGCTTTTTACAGAGTTATATCCCTGTAGTGTTGTGTACCACCTTAAACGTATGCAATACCGCAATATTCTTTACTTCAAGTTTTATTAGAGCTTTTACCTAACGATAAAGTTATAATAAACTTACTTGCATGCATATTGTTCTTACTGTATTTAACATTAAGATGTATGCTCGACTGCAACATATTTTGAAACAACATTATAATAGTCATAATAGAATTTATATTGTAAAAGCGCAAAATGTCAGATTTGTTGTAGCTGTCCTAGCCAAAAAAATAATGGTTTTATCTAAGTTTGTTTGGGGCAAACATTTTTAAAAGTAGAGATAAATTCCAACTCCTTTAGACAAAGTTGAACTTAGATTAATTTGACTATTCTTTTTAAGTCCCTTTTTTGTTGCAAAGCTATTGCCGTTTTTAGATATTTTATCATGCATGGCTTCCAAATATTTGGTTTGAAATTTCATGAGAGAAATAAATATGAAAAGCGATCGGACACAATTTATTAAGTGTTAGTTTCATTTGTTTTAAATTATGTAAATATCACAGACAACCTTTGGCCCCACAACCATCGAATACTGATTATCAAGATTGTTGAAGAGTCGCATGTCCTTTTTTTTTAATGCATTTTGAACTGATTAAGCACATGTTTTAAGAAACAAAAAAATATAATTAGAACTAACTTGTTCTCGTCGTACAGTCATTTGTTTTCCTTATTTAATGTCGCAAATTTTCTTCCTACAGATAGATTATTCTGGTATGAGCATGTATTGGTGGTATTACGTTCACGCTGAAGATGAGAAGGTATGACAAATTTTAATCAAAATGTAAAATCGTCTTCCTTACATGATAGTTCTGTCTTTTTTAGTTGCGAAAGTTCCGAAAGCGAAACATAGTAATGCTTACTTTGTCGTCTGTATCGGTTACAATAAGTGGTCTTAAAGCGAAACATTTATACATTTTTCATCCGCTGATATCATTCCTCTTCGGTAGCCAAGGGTTACGATACAGTTCTAGGAGTGGACTGGATCAGAACTGGATCGTTACCCTTGTCTAGCGAATTGCATATCATTCGAATTGAGTAGAATTGAATGAAATTTCTGACAAAACCATCTAAACGATTAAACAAAATAAATTAATTTTTAGATACAGGAAGATGTGGTATGAGTGCCAATGAGACAACTCTCCATCCAAGTCACAATTTGTAAATTTAAAGTAAACCATTATAGGTCAAAGTACGGCCTTCAACACGGAGCCTTGGCTCACACCGAACAGAAGCTATAAAGGGCCCCAAAATGACTAGTGTAAAACCATTCAAACAGGAAAACCAACGGTCTAACCTATAATCTAAAATGTGTTTGTATTTTAGTGGTATATTACTATGTTACTATTAATGTATAAAAGCAACAAGGCAGCCAACTCAACGCCATTTTGTTCTAAGCCTGAATTCTCATGTCCGGATGATTAATTAGGGGTAGATGTTCGAAACATCCCTTCTGAGATTAATAAATCGTTGGGACGAGCCCCGAAAAAGCCCTGGAAAAGATCGTTTCCCTTTGGTAAAAGTTCGGGGGAAAGCAGTCTCCCTTGCATTTTTAATAAACTTCAGGGCACGAAAATTCAAATCTTAAACAAAATGGCTCCAAGTTAGCTACCTTCTTGTTTTTAAGTATGGGTAGTAAAATGAGGAATTTTATCATAGTGGATATATTCATCCAAACACAAGGAAAGACAAGCTAAGTAGCGTTCAGTATTTGGTATAAAAATAGAAAATTGAATAGTCAGTGCAAACAATAAAAAAAAAAATAATCCAAATCATGTTCCCAAGCGCATGTGTCCTTTTTGACCAAATATAAACGTGATTGAGGGTGGGAATGGGGTAAGACAAATAACGATTAACTATATATTTTTTAACGATATGTGTTTTACTCTATTTGACGCAAATGGTAACTGACAAGTACGAGTTAAAGGGGGACAATAAAAGAAAATAAACGCACGTGACTTTTACCGTACTTATCGTAGCGAACGAAAAGGTGTTTAAACGCACGACGAGAAAGTTCATCACAACCCTCTTAACTCTTAAAATCTGTCAAATCCTTGACACTATTTCAGAAGGTGAACTTTATATTCTTATATGGGGTTCATAACAAGATCAGACAGGACGCAAACTGTTTTTCATTTAAGAACTATCCAGTATACCAAAGTGCTTGTAACTAATAAAAAGATAAAGCGATCTGGTGTTTCAACATCGATCTACATCATTTTGAGGATAACGCAACGCTTCAGATTATCTAACATTTATTTATTTGAAACTATAAGCAAACAAATAACAAGGACTTAAAACTGAAATACTCAAACAGTTCAAGGTTATTGTTGCTGGCATGTTTGTTGTATTTTGTAAATATCTTCTGATGAAAACCAAGTGCATATTTTATACACGTCCTAAAACTTTAGATTAACTTTTAGTCTGGGAAGACATGGATTATTCATTGGTTAAAATTGGCTTTGGATTAGCTTTCAGTAACCGCGAGGACTCTTTGGTCGGTATTTTATGTCTTTGGTTTTTTTATGGTTGTGCTTATGCTACTTGTCGTGCTAATAAGTCAAACCCTTTCCAACTGTACATTTACATCAATGTTCAGGGTTAGGGGAGGGTTGGGCGCTCACAAACCTGTTTAATCTCGTCACATTATTTGTATACCTGTCCTAAGTCAGGAGCCTGGTTGCAGTCTGCCATATTTGTTATATTTTTTATTGTGTTTAGCATAAACATGTCCGTCGGTTTTTTTGTTTTGAGTTGTTTTACATTTTGTTTGTGCAGTTTATGGATTATTCAAAGCAATGGATTTCGCTTATTGTTGAAGGCCATACGAAAAGCCATATTTTTTAATCCCTCGTTACAAGGTCTCTGGTGGACAGTTGTCTCAGTGACAGTCACACGCGGTAAGTAACTTCTTATGACACAAATATATTTCTGTTATTTTGGTGTGTCTTTTAGTATTCCCAAGATTTGAAGAAGTTTATGAAAACCGTTGGAACGTTGTTAGTGAGAGATTCTAATATGACAATAGAAAACTCCACTCAGAAAATTGAAACCTTTGTTAACGACGCATATGGTATGGAACTCAAACTTGCAAATGTAAGTACAATTAAATCATATATTGATTTTGGTATGTTAAGGGGCCCTGTTGGACCTAAAATAATTGAAATATTTTAAAGTCATGGGTTTTGGGTTTTTTATGCAATTAAAATTGAAAGATAATTTTGAGATTTAAACTGAAGATTTTGTAAACATTATGAAAATTCCTCATAATGTAGAGACCGAAAGATGTCAACAATCGACTTTTCTACCAAAAAAACACATTGAATATCTGTTTTAATGTATGTGTTAGGGTTAAATATCAAGAGTATACAATTGCAAAAAAAAAAATAACTTAACTTAAGGGATGTAACTTGTTCATTAGATAAAAACTGTAATTAATTATTTAGTTGGAGCTCTCTCTAAATTTGCGAATACAAAAAAAAAATGTTTAGAATGTCAAGAATCTCTTTTTTTATATATTGCATTTCTAATATTTTTTTTCTGTCCACAGTTTCTCTCTATCTTCTTTGGTTTTTGCTCAAAACACAAAAAGGGTAAAAAATCGTGTTATTTAAGATCAATCACTTCCATAAAATTTGACTTGATATATGAATTTCTTGCCTTGCTGATAATTTTTTCTATCTTTTATAATTTTCAAGATAAAAGGCATAACCCTAAAAATAGGTAAAAATCGTCTTTAAAAGCAATAACTCCATTGAAGAAATTGACTGACGATTTTAGCCATGTTGACTTATCTGCAGATCTTGTCTTTCTGATCATTTTTGCTATTTTTAAAAAGTGTCTATGATCTATTATAGTTTTATAGTTTTTAAGATAATAGGTAAAAACCCTAAAAATTGGTAAAAAACTTCTTTTAAGAGCAATAACTCCAATAAAGAGTCGTTCTGATATCTCTTTTAGCTAACTGCTTACACCTATCCCACATATGATCCTCATGCTGATGAAAAAAGAATTTCTTTACGAGATTTTACAGCACAAACTGGAAACGTCGTAAGTTGGAATTATTATACAGAGCGTGGCCATAAGTATCCGATACTTGACATATTTCACTAATATTTCATATAAAACTATGTTATTTTGGGGTCATTTCTGGTTTGATTTGAAGCAATTTGGAACCAACAGAAGCAGAATTGTCACAGGTTTTATTTGTTTATTTGGTTGTATTATTGTTGTGGAGTATTTTCATTTTCACATGAGATAAACACAAATATTATTTTCTGTTTAGAAATTTGCTATATATTTCAACCAAATTAAATTGTAAAGAATTATTATACGTGTTCACATTGATAGAAAAAAAAAACAATTGAAGACAAAACTACGACCATACAAATAACTATTCTTTAGCCAATTCTGTGTCTTTCAACACCTGATTTGTAAAAATCCAACCATAAATGCCTTCAAAATTAATTTTCAAAAAAATGTAGGTAACGAATACTTTTGACCATGCACTGTTATACAGTAGCAATTTATATACCAAGCATTCATGAGTAATTTGTGATAGTAAACATTTATGGACACATTTTTAGAATTATTTAATTTGCAAAGATTTGATGTTAAATTTACATAAGGTCTAGTAGAAGATTCAAATATTCCACATTCTCAAATATCTTAATAAACGATTTCAATTGTGTAACAGGGTTGTTTAGTTTGCCCTCAGTATATTTTTGCCGTCATTTTGATTTTTCATGTTGAGAGATAATGCAGCCCTAAACCATCATTATCATAGTCATCAGAAAAATATTTTTATAAAACTTCTTTCTACGTGTCAAAGAAAAGAGTATATATTCCCATATGATACCAAAAGGTTTTCACAGTCATAAAGTGAAAGCAAAATCAGAATAAATACATTATTGAATTCTACTTTAAAAGACGGGTTTTCCGGGAATCCGAACTACTACATAGTTTATTTATATCATCATGCAATTTCTCAAGCCCGAAAATGCTCCGAAAGGTGTTTACACACTACCTTGTGAAAACACTGTCGATATTTTGTACATTAAACTGATTAAAAGATAGTACAATTTATATAATTTTTCAAACACCAAGGCACAGCTCTTAAATTCCCCTGTCGGAGTGAATATAATATAAGGACACTTAAAATGTTCTTAAAAATGTTTTATTTGACCTACAGGTTATATGCTTTTGGTTGTCATTCTATAGGTCTGTTTACAGAAGTACATGTAGGGGTTTAATTTTTTCAATCCAAGTTACTTAGATACATTCTTGATTTAATGATATCAGAACGAAGTGATTTAAAAAAACCTTTTCTGCTTGTAGATTGACTTCACTTCCATGTTAACCAAAATGTTTAGAGAAGCTGGTGTAAACGCTTATACAAAGGTTGTCATTATGGAGGATGATTGGTTAAGACAGATGGTTGACATGGTGAAAAATCTAGGACCTGATAAAAATCGGTGCATACTTGGCTTTATATATCTTTTTGTAAACAAATAAAAACTTGTATTTTTCTCTCGTCAATATGATTATCTCTAGATGTTTTAATCGAGCTTTTGTTAATTCTAAGATTAATTTTAACGAAAAAAGAACTTTGTTTGTGATTAAGTCTTTCTTCTTGTTACATATTTACAAATATACAATACTTGATGTAACCAGTTACTAGTATATAGAATACTCCTGTTATGTGCTGTCTTGCGTGTTAGTGATGTGTATAGATTAGTCGCAAATTCTCTGAATTTGTTCTTCAATTGAATATATTTTTTTTAAATTTAGTGTTTACGTGGTTTGTTACAGGACAAGGCAGCTGAAGATGATCGTGTCTTTATATACATTTTTCACATTATATATTTATTTCCCTATTGATATCTTAAAAAATTATCAATCAATCAATCATACTATTTTTGTATAGCGCTGAATTTGTGAAAATTGTGTATCTTTATTTTTAACTTTTTAAAAGGGTATTGTTCTTATTTCAGACAAGTATAGACTTCATACTATATATTGGCATTACTCTTATATCTAAATTATTAATTTATTATATTTATATATGTCAATATAATTTGTATACTAGTATTCACTTTAGAACTGTATAAGAATCATTTTAAAACAAAAGCTTTCAAAGGACGAGCATTTTCTTTTCTTTACATTAAAGGATGCTGAACAACTACTTTACATGGAGGATGGCATATCGCTATGTTCAACAGTTGTCTTGGGAGTATGTTCATGCTAATCGCGAATTTTACGTAGATAGATATGGTATACCACAATTCCTTGGCACGTGGTATTATTGTTTTTACAACATGGATACAAATATGGGAGATGCTCTTAGTTCACTTTATGTTAAGGATCATTTTGCTGATAGAAACAAACAAAAGGTCAGCATTGTTACAGTCAATAAAATTAATACATTGCACGATGTATTTCTAGTTTCAAAGAATGGGGCTAGACTGAAATTCTCCAAATGTATGTTAATAAAGGTCTAGTTATATTCAATGAGTGATGCCTCAGATTTAACAACAAATGCAGTTAACTGACATTGTATATACAATCATATTTTAGAAAATAAAACAATTAAATCAATATTTTTTCTATTTCCAGTTTAATGTGAAGAAAAACTAGTTTAAGCAAAATGTTACAAAAATCTGTGACATCGTCAATTTATTTTTAGTCTACATTAGGGGACCATCATTTGATTTTCTGGTTGGGTTGGGGGAGGAGGATTTTGAAGATGATTATCGTGGCCTGTTAAGAACTGAAATTGAATAATCTTGCTCAAGAGAGGATGCAAACAATAGTCTGCAACACAAAATGCAGAATATAATTGAATACAAAAGTGACAAAATATAAACATGCATAGCAACAGATAAAAATCAATATGCAATCAGCAAAAAATGCTCCTGCACTTCTCATAATATAAGGTTGTCCCCTTAATGTTTATTTCCATTTCTGAAGGAGAACATCATTGTGCAATGGTTTTATTAATATTTTAAAGAAATCCAGTTCTTTGAATATGTTGACGTCATTTTTTAATGAATGTATCATTGGTTCAGCTGCATCTTTATTTCTTTTCCTGTAGGTTCACGAAATATTGGACTACATTAAAAAGGCAATGTCAGACGGTATTGTGCAGAATGTGTTTATGGATCGTGTTACTAAAGACTTGGCAAAAGAGAAGGTATTCTATCATTTTTTCGTTGACCTCGGAAATGTCATGTGGTACTATTGGATACCTTGATATACATGTATACCTAAGTCTGAAGCTATAGTTCAAAGATGCTAATTGACATACAACCATACAACTGTGCAGAGTATTCAAGAAAAATAACCATATATCATATGATTTATGTCACTTAGCCCGTAGTTTATGGTTGCTCTCCATTCTGTTTTATTAATTCAATTTCCAAGTTCTGTTATCATATTAATGTTACCCATGTTATTCTGAACTGCTTTTTTTGCCTCGCCTGCCTTTTTCCAATATTTCACTTGAATTTCTATCAAATGTACGTTTGAACATAATTTATATACATGTAAATGCACGAGACGACATGGTGACTTGGTATAGAAATATGGTCATCTCTTGTTCATCGGCGATTGGTATTCAAACCCTTGCAAAAGTGGAACATCGGTTTTGCTGTGCGGGATGTATAAATTCGCAGCCACGTCCGGTCAGAATGGGGACGCTAACGTGTTGAGAGAGTGCCACGCTCTTTGACGTTGAGAACCTTTGCAACAACACTTTGATGGTACGTAGGTGGCCTGTTGCAAGGATAAATTTCTGTCCATATCCAATAACCCTCATTTTCAGTGCCATTACAAAATTAACACGCATAAATACGAAGTCCCTTGTATATTGATATTATTTTTTTTACCAATTAAGCAATTTATCCGAAGATAGAATAAAAAAAGAACAATTGGATAATTCGACAAAAAAATTTCCGTAAAGTTAAGTTTATGAGATTTGGTATTTTGTAGCATGTCAATTTTGTATTGATTATTTTATAACAGATAATGACATCTTTGGACAAAATGGGCTACCCTGATTTTATGATGAACGATGATCAACTCACGTCTATATACCAGTCAGTGAGTAGTCATTTACTTATTCAACATGTTAGTCGGTCAATAAATTGTACATTCGGACATATTCAGTAAATTTCGGACGTATTCAGTAAACTTCGCTGATGACATAATTTGCCATAGCAAATTTTCGATATTAAAAGGCAGCACCATTTTTGTCGAGCCTGCGACTTTTGCCGCAGAAAGCTCGACATAGGGATAGTGATCCGGCAGCGGCGGCGTTAACTAACTTCTTAAAAGCCTAATATTTCAAAAGGTAGAAAGATGCCTTATGATATGAAGTTTCCGTCTTTCATATGCCCATTGTCCTTGACCTCATTTTCATGGTTCAGTGACTACATGAAAAAAAAGTTCAGATTTTTTGTAATGTTAATTTCTCTCTTATTATGAGTAAAAGGATAACTATATTTGGTATGTGCGTACCTTGCAAGGTCTTCATACCTGTCAGACAGTTTTCACTTGACCTCGACCTTATTTCATTGATCAGTGAACAAGGTTAAGTTTTCGTGGTCAAGTCCATATCTCGGATACTATAAGCTATAGGTCTACTATAGTTGGTGTATGTAATGATTGTAAGGTGTACATGTCCAACTGGCAAGTGTCATCTGACCTTGACCTTATTTTCATGGTTCAGTGGTCATAAGTTAGTTTTTGTGTTTTGGTCTGTTTTTCTAATACTGTATACAATAGGTCAACTATATTTGGTATATAGAAATATTTTACGATGTACATGTCAGTCTGGCAGGATTTATTTGACCTTGACCTCATTTTCACGGTTCATTGCTTAATGTTAAGTTTTTTGTGTTTTGGTCTGTTTTTCTAATACTGTATGCAGTAGGTCAACTATTTTTGGTGTATGGAAATATTTTACGATGTACATGTCAATCGTGCAGGTTTTATTTGACCTTGACCTCATTTTCACGGTTCATTGCTCAATGTTAAGTTTTTGTGTTTTGGTCTGTTTTTCTAATACTGTATGCATTAAGTCAACTATATTTGGTATATGGAAATATTTCACGATGTACATGTCAGTCTGGCAGGTTTTATTTGACCTTGACCTCGTTTTCATGGTTCATTGCTCAATGTTAAGTTTTTTGTGTTTTGGTCTGTTTTTCTAATACTGTATGCAGTAGGTCAACTATATTTGGTATATAGAAATATTTTATGATGTATATGTCATTCTGGCAGGTTTTATTTGACAATGACCGCATTTTCATGGTTCATTGCTTATGTTAAGTTTTTGTGTTTTGGTTTGTTTTTCTTAAAATTTAAGCAATAGGTCAACTATATTTGTTGTATGGAATGATTGTAATGTGTGTATGTCTGTCTGGCAGGTATAATCTGACCTTCACCTCATTTTCATGGTTGATTGGTCAATGTTCAGTTTTCCGGGTTAACTTTGTTTCTTAGATACTTTAAGCAATAGGTCAACTATATTTAATGCATGGAATGATTTTAAGGTGTACATGTATGTCTGGCAGGGTTCATCTGACCTTGACTTCATTTTCATGGTTCATTAGTTAGTATAGAATTTGCACGGTTTGGTCTGTTTCTTTTATACTATAAGCAATAGGTCATCTATATTCTGTGTATGGAATGATTGTATTAAAGGTGTACATATATTTCCGGCTTTGTTTATCTGACCTTGACCTCATTTTCTTGGATCATAAATGTTAATGTGATACTTGTAGTAAAACTTTATATGTAGGACTATCAACATAAAATCAATGGTCAGTATAGTAGGCGAGATATTTCAGCGTGTGCACTCTTGTTTAAAGAACTGAATGCCTTTATTTGATTTTTCATTGGGGTATAAAACGTTCGCCGAAGTCAAAACTTTTACAACGCCACTTAATTGTAGAAACATTGGGTTCTTATTAAAATGTCTTAATACTAAAGCAAGTTTTGTTTCTTTTTAAAATATTCCTACAAATTGTTGTAATGTCGTCACGGAGACTTCGTGAAAAAAAACTCGTCAAAGATACCAAGCTTACAATTGTGTACGCCAGACGCGCGTTTCACCAGTGACGCTTGAATCAAAATAGTTAAAAAAAATCAAGAAAGAATTTGAAGAGCATTTTGGATCCAAAATTCAGAAAGGTTTTGTCACAGTTAAAAGGAAGTTATTGTTGTTGCGTTTCATTGGAGATGAATATCACCGTATTGTTGTTCAACTTATTTTCCAATCAAAATGTTATATTACTTTTGAAACATCTATTTGCTGTAATATAGGCGGAACGGCAATCATACTATTGTGGAAATTTACACTGATTAAATGTTAGATGTATAAAAATAATGAGATGTATTATGTGTGTCAGTGAGATTAAAGGACAAAGATTTTATTAATCAAGGTCACCGTAGGCCTTCAACAAGAAACAAAACCCACAAAAAACAATAAAAACAAAACAAAACAAAACAAAACAAAGCAAGCAAGCAAGCAACCATACAATAAACAAAATCAATAACAGAAAAGAAAAAAGCAACATAAAACAAATGGAAATGTATCATCTAAAATGCACACCCTTGTACTAACGGATGCACAAGCAGTCCACACATTATCTAAAATGCACACCCTTGTACTAACGGATGCACAAGCAGTCCACACCTTATTTAAAATGCACACCCTTGTACTAACGGATGCACAAGCAGTCCACACCTTATTTAAAATGCACACCCTTGTACTAATGGATGCACAAGCAGTCCACACCTTATTTAAAATGCACACCCTTGTACTAACGGATGCACAAGCAGTCCACACCTTATTTAAAAGATAAAGATAACAGTCAACACAATACTACAGATGTAGCAACACGAACCCCACTGTAAAAAGGGGGATTAATTAAGCTGCTACCAAAGGGTAAACCGCTCATGTGCCACCTGTTGCTCTTCGCAAGTTTACATTCGATGATAAGTGACATTTAGTGCGGTCTCAAACGTGGAAAATGAGACGGGGCTATGTCAACGATAAGCGGAAAATATACACAAGTTCCGATTTGTGACATAATATGCAAAAATGGGTAACAAAAATAACATGGCGTCTTTATAATCGGGCGTTTTCCGTGTTATATTAACTCAAAGACGGAATACCAATACTTTAAACTTTATTAGCAAGGTCCGGACAGTACCAGACCTAAGACCTAAACTGACTACAAAATAACATACAAAAGCATATATAGAAGACATTTACTATAGCAAAGGATTAGTGTCCAAAGGATTAACTTGTCATCGTCAGAGTGATTTCCATTACGACAAACATATATTTAACAATAGAATTAATTAAACAAAAAGAAATGTAAAAGGTTTGATAAACGGATTAATAAATTGTCACTATAGCACTTAAAATATATATTGTCGGAATTAGCTTTATTTCTATTTCACATTTGTCCAAATCTTCCTGGTTATATTCGCCACTACTCCACCTAAACTCGGTCTCCGATGTTGCCGAATGAATTTTGTTATCCTCGTGGGTATCCTCCTCCTCGCCGATGACGTTGCTGCGAATTGCCACGCGAGCAAATTGCAAGGGTCGAACGCACATCTCGGTTTGAATGTTTTATATCTAGATGTTGAATCTCGTGTCTACTGTTTACGTTCTCTTCCTTAAGTCTCTGAATTTTGTCTTCCATATCATTTAAGATGCGATTGTACTGCATGTCAGAATTTTTGAACTCCATTGTTAAGCGTTGTCTGGTGTTCGTTAAATTTAGGTTTTCCTCTTTCAGTTGAACTATTACTCTTTCCAAATGTTCATTTCTATCTGTATAACCACTTATTTCTTTTTCAAAATTTTTAGTTCGACTTGTATGTTCGGCTAATTCATGTTCGATCTTTTGAATTATCCGGCCATGTTCTAAACGTTCCAAATTTAATTTGTCCAAACTGTTACTCAACATTGCATTATCTTTCACTATGGTATCAAATTTAGAATTTTCACACTTCAGCACAGCGATTTCTGTGGAACCCCCTTTTAGAAATGGCTGGATCCGCCCCTGCTGTCCATGTTTATTTTGATGTTAAGGCTAAATTTTATACTATTAATGCTTGATATTGATCAGCTGCTCGTTTTAGATTATTTTGTTTTAAATGTCGAAGAACAGGAATTTCAATGAACAGATGTATTATAACCAAACCCCCTTTCTTGTGAAAGTCGTCGATATAAACAGATAATGATCATTCAACTAGTTCACAAATCAAACAAACACTCTTGTAAAGCAAGGATTTGTATAGCAAATCCTTGTGTAAAGTAAGGAATGTATATCAATCGAAACTGTCAAAATGTTTTCAAAATATATACTTACGTTAATTCAGTCGGACACAGCAAGAAACTACTAAAAGACCAGACAAACGGCGCGAAATCATAGCGTTGATATTTTCGAAAGCTATCGGGATTTTTCATCATTCTAATCTTTACGGAAATCGATTTACAGCTGTAGTCTCGGTTTACAGTCATCAATATTTTATATTTGCATAACCATTAAAGAATAATTATTAGAATGTTATTTGGTTATTGCTATTTTCATACAAATATTTTAACAGTTATTATCTATGTTATAAATTACCAATTTATGAAAATGAAACGCATGTTAACAAAACCGTGTATCTACAGTCCCGTTGCCGATCATGTCTCTTTATATTTATTTATTCATTTTTTTTTTCGATTTTTTTTTATTTTTTTATTTCGATTCCTCTGCTAATCAAAGGGAAGCTATCCTCATATTATTTTGATACACTGAAAAGTACTGGACAACGATTCTATCGATGAACTGAAGTATACTAAAATGTACTTGTCAGTACTAGATTTAACGCTAGGCGTTTTTTCTTAATTACCTGAACCAGTACTAACTGGTACTTAATCGATCGCAGTAGTTAGTGTACTGAACATGTACTGAACAACTGAAAAAGATCTTGACATTTTTCCTTGCGGTAAATTCAGGCATTTAAGAGTTGTTCAGTTTAAAATGACCGTTTCAGTAGTAAAACCCGTTACTAGTGTTTGATGAAGTTTCGGTTAGACACTTTCAACTTGTTAATGTGTAGTTTCGCGGATTCGTCCTGTATGGAGCACGTAAAAGCGGAGAGTTCCTTGTCCTCGAGTTCTTAAAACGGAAATTGAGACATTTGTTTCTTCTCAATAAACGTTCTCATTCGGTCGCTGTCTCTTTGAATTTTTGACTTTGATTTCTTCTTCGGTTTTGGGTTTTCACACGACTTAACGTGAAAACTACACATACGGGCAAAATGTCCATGATGTCTGCACTTGTAACAATAAGCGTTAGCTGCATAACACCGATGGTAGGTGAAAACGTTCAATGTCCTACCGCAATATTTGCACAGAAAGTCCAAATAGGTATCTGCTTTTCTCATCGGAAACGGATGTCCATTTCTGCAAGGCTGGTAATTCCAGGTTCCTTCCATATAGTTGCTTCTAGAGGTATTCATTACTAGTTTGGGGGAACTAGCTCAAGATCGTGCCGCGGGTACCTCCACCAATATATAACCGGGGAGTTTTCCGTGTTATAGTAACTCAAAGACGGAATACCAATACTTTAAACTTTATTAGCAAGGTCCGGACAGTACCAGACCTAAGACCTAAACTGACTACAAAATAACATACAAAAGCATATATAAAAAACAGTTACTATAGAAAAGGGTTAGTGTCCAACGGATTAACTTGTCATGGTCAGAGTGATTTCCATCACGACAAACATATATTTAACAATAGAATTAATTAAACACAAAGAAACGTAAAAGGTTAGATAAACGGATTAACAAATTGTAACTTTAGCACTTAAAATATATTGTCTGAACTGGATTTATTTATAATTCCCAATTGTCCAAATCTTCCTGATTATATCTTTCCTATTACCCATATATTAGTAATTTCAGTATCATACATTAGGTGCGTTGTTTAATGACATGCTTGAATTCCTAATAGCTTATGTACGAAATCTGATCAGTTGTCTCAGCAAATTTACATCAGAACTTATATTTGTCTCAATCAAAATTTTTACTTTTACAGTTAAAAGTTAGCAGAACTGATTATTTTGAAAATGAACTGAGCCTTAACAAATTCAAACTAAAAGACTGGAACAACAGGTTACGTGTCGGAGAAGACAGATCAAGATGGGTTTTACATACTTACGACACTTATATGGAATACTATGGACCTTGGCATGAGCTAATTGTGCCAGCTGGTTTGCTGCAATTTCCTGTCTATGATTATTCACTTCCACATTACATAAACTTTGGTTCTATGGGTAGTTTGTTGGGGCATTATCTTGTACATGCAATAGACCGATTTGGTATGTACAAACTTAAAATGTAAAAATAAGAGATATACATGTTATACAGAGGTTTTCTTCAGACACAATCAATTAATTAATACATAAATTCTGAACGGTTATATACAGTCTAGTTCAAAAATTTTGAATTATTTTTTTTATGACACCGATAAATAAAATTATTTGCAAATGTGAAAGGATTCTCTAAACTAGTACATTTCATTTTTCTAAAGTTTAAATTCTATTTTTAGGTTCCATTTACGATAAGAATGGAGACTACAATGTGCAAGGATGGTGGTCAAATAAAACCAAACTGTCATATAATACTACCACAAATTGTTTTATTGATTATTTCAATAATAAAACTATGGGACCCTTTGCTGTACCTGGCCAATTTTCTCTACAAGCGGTATGTTTTCTGTTTCAGAAGGGCATCCGAAATGTAAATCATATTGTTGGTTTTGAATACTGTAAATTCAGAAATTATTGCGAGGTTTTTATTAATGCGAATAATGCGAATGAATGAGTATCGCAATAATAAAAATTCGCATTCTGATATTTGATACATATAACTGTATGCAGATTTTCCTGAAATCGCAATAATTAATCTCACATTTTAGTCCATTCTTTAAAATTCGCAATAATAAATGCACGCAATAATTTCTGAATTTACAGTAATAGTTTTGATAATAATGAATCCCAAAAAGAGGCGTTGTGTTCTTGTTCTGTCTAACTGTGCGTTCATCTGTCCGTTTAAATGAAACTTAGCAGAACTGCTTCAATTCATACACTTTATCTGGCTATGCACCATAAAAGAATAAAAAAAAACTAAGGTTCCAACTCCCTGATGCAGAATTTTTTTTATCTTTTATTTGTTTTTCAGTAGTCATGACTATAATACCCCTACAACCAACACCTGACTATGGTTTTGGGGGTAAACATTGAATAATATGTACAAGACTATCCATTTTGTGTTTTAAATCAGTAATTTATATTATACAAGAATATAGTTACCGGGGAAAAAAAGGCTATTCACACTCACAATTTCTCTCACTACTAACACATAATCACTGTTATTTTACCATTAGAAGGCTTGCATGTCTTTACATAAAGTAAAATACAAATATCAACTGATCGCTACAGTATAATTCAAAGTATAAATCAAAAGTTGACCTCAGATTGATTTGGTTATTCTTTTTTAGTCCCTTTTGATGATGATTAAGCTCTTCGCATGTTTAGGTAGTTATCATACATCTTTGGCTTTCATATGTTGGGTATGAGCCTCCTGTAGGTAAATCATTACAAGAGCATCGTACGAAATAGATTTATAAAGTATTAGTTTTATTTCTTTAAATAAGATATTTAGTTTTTCTCAGATTTAAGGATTATATTTGTGGTATGCAATTGCAAAACTGTTGATGTAAACATGAGGTGTGTTTTTTATCAGATTTTATTTTTGGGCTTTCTATTGAAAAACATGGACCGAACCATTAATATTTATTTAAAACAATTGTGAAAACAAATGTCCTGTAGTTTACATTTGAAGTGAAAAAACTTAACATAATAAATGAGGTATGCTTGAGGCTAAAAGAGGCTAATATTGTAATTCAACTTTGCCTGAAGGAGTTTGAACCTTATTTTTTAACCATTTTTAGGACAGCAATCTCACAAAACAGAAAAAAACAAGGCTTAAACGTCATCATATTGTCTTTAACAATTAAAAAATGTCTATATTGCCAAGCTCCCGAAACCGAAACAGAAAAATGTTGACAAATTAGCCTAACGAGCCAGTCTCATAAATGTAGTAATGAATACATAATCAAACTGCAATAGAACCAGTATTAAATTTGAACAAGAAGATAACATATAAACCCTCTGCATTTTGTATATTTTCATCCAAGGTTCCTGTAAATGGACGGAGATATGCTCGTGAAGGAATGGCAATCGCAAGTGGAGTCAAGCTAGCATTCAGGGTAATTGTCAGATCTTATAAAGGGTTAATTGTTTTTGAAGGATTTTTATATTTGGTGAAATCAATTTAGTTGTTGTCAATGTCATTTTATTGATCTGATATAAACGTAAGACATCCATGTTCCATTTCAGTCGGCGCTGCAGACTATTGTTTCAAAATACCTATTGTTAATTTGACAAAATAAAATAAACGAAAAAATATTTATAAATCATCGTACTGATAAATCGTTTTTGATGCAATATTTTAATTAAAAAAATGCAAAATACATGAAACAAGTATAAAAGAGACTACAGGACCGAGGGATATTAATTGGTCAGAAATTGTGTACAGAGTTTAACCATAATTTCATCATTTAGTTGTTTTGTAAAAGTTTTATCATTTCTATACTGTGAAAAAAAGAAGAAGAGAAAACGCAGTCAAATTCTTTTATTTGAATTTATCTAATTGTGCTTCATACAAACCTCTTTACGTAAAATCTTTATTACATGATTCACATTATTTATAAATAGAGTAACTAGTATATTTATTAAAAACATAAAATTAAATATGTGAAAAAAAGCGTATTATGTCATAATAATAATTAAATAAATATTACGTTTTTAACTACCACAACACCTGTTACCTCGACCCGAGACTCAAGTTACATAGTTTTGCCAGAGAAAGTAAGAGTACAGCTAAAGATTTTAATTTATCAAAATAATTTGTTATCTGAAGTCAGTAAACAATGCAATCACAATAGCATGGTATCTGATTTTTTTGATAATTCCTACAGTCTTGATATACATTTATCTCAAGATGTAATTGAGACATCTTTAAAAGAGGGACGAAAGATACCAGAGGGACAGTCAAACTCATAGATCGAAAACAAACTGACAACGCCATGGCCAAAAATAAAAAGACAAACAGACAAATAATAGTACAGATGACACAGCATAGAAAACTAAAGACTAAGCAACACGAACCCCACCAAAAACTGGGGGTGATCTTAAACTTTAAACATAAAAAAATGTCTTTTGTTTATCATCTATTTAATAATAATTGATTTATTGAAAGGCTTATCAAAAATGGATGGCTGCTAACAGGATTGAGAAATTAGCTCCAGGATTAGGACTATCGAATGAACAAATGTTCTTTGTGTCGTATGCACAGGTATGTTCTCTTATGTAGTGTAACCGACACGGTTGTCTTGTGGAAGTATGGTTGAACCAAAGAGTTGTAGATTGGTATTTGGCCAAATTTCTCAAAGTTGTGGATCTTGACATAATTCATGCGTTTACAATTTGACAGCCGGTTTAGAATTCATCCAATAGTTATCAAAGGTACCAGGATTATAATTTAATACGCCAGACGCGCGTTTCGTCTACATAAGACTCATCAGTGACGCTCATATCAAAATAGTTATAAAGCCAAACAAGTGCAAAGTTGAAGAGCATTGAACCAAAATTCCAAAAAGTTGTGCCAAATACTGCTCAGGTAATCTATTCCTGGGAACAGAAAATCCTTAGTTTTTCGAAAAATTCAAAGTTTTGTAACAGGAAATTTATAAAAAAAAAATTACCATATAATTGATATTCATGTCAACACCGAAGTGCTGACTACTGGGCTGGTGATACCCTCGGGGATGAAACGTCCACCAACAGTGGCATCGACCCAGTGGTGTAAATAGTTATCAAAGGTACCAGGATTATAATTTAATACGCCAGACGCGCGTTTCGTCTACATAAGACTCATCAGTGACGCTCATATCAAAATAGTTATAAAGCCAAACAAGTGCAAAGTTGAAGAGCATTGAACCAAAATTCAAAAAAGTTGTGCCAAATACAGCTAAGGTAATCAATTCCTGGGATAAGAAAATCCTTAGTTTTTTGAAAAAATCAAAGTTTTGTAACAGGAAATTTATAAAAAAAAATGACCATATAAATGATATTCATGTCAACACCGAAGTGCTGACAACTGGGCTGGTTTTATTCTCGGGGACGAAACGTCCACCAGCAGTGGCATCGACCCAAATCATTGTTAGAACTTTAATGTAGACATATTTGACTGTGATACTATACATTAAATCAAAGATAGAAAGACTTTCTGAAAATGGCCCTGGTGGGAAATGAATTCAGAGAAAATTGCCTCTATTCTTTTGTTCACAACTATTTTAGACGAATCGGACCAACTAAGAGCTTGACAAACTGAAAGGACATTTGTCTATTGCTGAGGACTGTATGATGACCAAAAGGCGGATCCATGATTTTTGAAAGGGGCGTTATTCCGGAAAATTAAATATATACGGTGGGAAATATTTTTTGACAATTTTAAACTAGAAATTCATATAAATCGTGAGAAACATGATTTTTTTTTATGGCGAACGAAACGGGGGTGACTTATGCCCTCTGCCTCCCCCTTGATCCGCCACTGTGACCTCTGACACTTTTAGTTTTATGCTTCGTCTGGTTGCTGTCTTGTTGACGTATGACCGAATTATCTTTTTATTCATATTCCAGAAATAGTAAGTACTTGAAATAAATGTTTTACTTTTCAGAGTGAATGCTTTAATAGGAATGACAGAATAGCATATGACAGAGCTATACGAGGCAGGGTATCTGAAGATATAGCGTACGTATATCCATTGTTTTATCAAACGTATTTTTATGATGTTTCTATATCTAATTAACATAGCCAACAGTATAACAATAATTAGATGTGGTATGATTGCCAATGAGACAACTATCCACCAGAGATGTGGTATGATTGCCAATGAGACAATTATCCACCAGAGATGTGGTATGATTGCCAATGAGACAACTATCCACCAAAGTTCAAATGAAGTAGTTTACTGATGTTTGTATTTCACCAGTTGATTAAAAAGACAAATCAAAGTCAAGGGAATCCTCACGAACTTCAAAAGGAGCGAGACCGGCTGCCTCTACAAGGTGACAGTCTCTTGCTTTTCATGCTTCAAACGTTATACGAATCTACACTGAGTCGAAATGTCACAATCTGGAATAGACCATAATCGGTTAAATTAGAGATTAAACTACTACTCTGGTATCTTAAGATATAAGACTGCAAAAACATATCGCTAGTGAATTCAAACACAACAATTTCATTGAAAGGTTCAAGTAAAATATTATTAGATCAAAGAATGTCATAACACTGTACCACAACATTTACGGTTCAGGAGAACACATTTTTAATTCCCAAAATGGCTATGTTTTCCTCCCTTTATTCCTTGAAAAGATAAGTTGTGCAACAAGAAACGTTTTGAAGGGTAGCAGAACCTAGATTCATACAATCTAAAGATACGCAATTCCAGTTAAAAAAACCACCAGATGCATGTATAACATTAATAAAATGATATATTTTGATTGTTTGGATTTGTTTCTATGATTATTTTTTTTCATGTTATGATCTTAATATTTTTTCGTGATCGTATAAGATATAAGGATATTACAAAAAAAAAGAAAAAAAATACTTGTTCCTTGTTTTGGCACAAGTGGTTCAAAAATCACCATCGTTCTTTGAAATAACTAACCTTTTGTTTCAATGTTAGATGAATAATTTAACGATTAACGACAGGGTCCCTCCACTGAAGCTAACTATGTTTGGACGTACAATTTTGTTTAATAGCCCTTTAAGTGGCTCCTTAATTCATATAAAAACTCTAAAATATCATTTGATAAAATCAAGTGTTCGCATTAAATATTAATATTGTCTTCAAAATATGTGAAAGAGACGCATGCTCGTTGACAGGGATCTAGATATATGCTTCCTACAATTAATAGTTCAGTGATTTTAAAGAGTTTGTGATTCTTTCGATTTTCTATTCACCACTAAAATTAAGCGTACCAAAATATAGTGATGAATTTATACACTTGAATTTGTTTGTATTAGTTAATTGTTAATAGTACATAAATGGTATCGCATATTAAAATATCTATTTTTCTTGTTTAAAACGCATTTTGTTCATTACAGTACAAACAGTGCAATGTCACATGTTAGAGAGTTTTCACAAGCATTTAGATGTCCAGTTAACTCTCCAATGAATCCTGCCAAGAAGTGTAATCTGTATTGAAAGGATGAATTTCAACGAAAGGACATGTTTTCACCTTCTTCATAATGAACCATTTCAAAAGATTGGACAATCTGTATCATTTCTTTTTCATGGTGTTCATGTTTATCAAAATATTATATTTCAAACTTAGTTATAAAGATCACAATGTTTTTATTAGTAATCTTTGTATTTTGTTCCCATTGTTCATCTAAAAAAATGATTTCTAGAATTGATCGTTTGTTTATTTCTGAAATGCACATGCTTTACCATTATGTTTCATGTAAGATTGTTTATGAAATGAGCCACGATATTTCAAATATAGTAATGTGAGATAAACAAATAACATACAATAACAATTCATTGTAAACATCATTACTAAGTCTTGTATTTGCATGGTTGTTTCTGAAGCAATGCACAATTTGTACAATTTGTCGAATTGAATCCATTTGAATACGTTTTGAATGTTTATTTTCAACGGTTTTTATCGGTATATTTATCCTGACGAAATATACATTTTCGTACAAATGTAAACTTCCTATGAAAATAGTTTATAGCGATCAAAATTTCAATTGTGGTTGACAGTTTCGAAAATAAACAATTAGGGCATTGAATTTGTAAATTTGTGATGTGAATGGTTTTACAATGTTTACAATAATCATATTAAGGATCATAGTTATATAAGAATAAGAAGATGTGGTATGATTGCCAATGAGACAACTCTCCACAAGAGACCAAATGACACAGAAATTAACAACTATAGGTCACCGTACGGCCTTCAAAAATGAGTAAAACCCACACCGCATAGTCAGCTATAAAAGGCCCCGAAATGACTAATGTAAAACAATTCAAACGAGAAAACTAACGGCCTGATTTATGAACAATATAATGAACGAAAAACAAATATGATATACAGCAACAAACGACAACCACTGAATTACAGGCTCCTGACTTGGGACAGGCACATACAGAATGTGGCGGGGTTGAACTAGTTTGAAGGCGCGCCAACCCTCCCCTCACCTGGGAAAGTGGTGTAACAGTACAACATAAGAACATACTATAAAAATCAGTTGAAAAGGTCTTAACTCATCAGAAAGATACAAAGCAGAAATACATCTAACAAAAACAGAGTGGATGTGGCAGGGTACTTATACATCCACACAACAAACATACACGTACAGATCTGAGAGTACTCGCAGTTACTGACAGCTAGTTCAAGGCCAATAACAACTAATCCAAAAAAATCATGCATCTAAGACTAAAATGTATGCTTTCATTGAGGGTCATTGTTATTTGTATAAATTAAACACATTTTTTTATCTTGTTATAAAAATAATATTTTATGATCAATATGTAAACAAAATATGTATTGCAGACTTCTGAATTTTATTATGAGAGATAATAAATGTAGTCTAGAGCGACATTTCAGAGCTGGTAAATCTAACAGTTTTTAGACTGCGAACATATTTTTTATGAACCAACCTGAAAAGTCTTATCGGGAAGATATGAAAACAATGTTCAGCCAATGTTTCAGTTTCGGACAATTGATGATACAGAAAAAGATAAATCTGCCTCTTATCTTGACCAGGAATTAACAACAATGCAGGTCGGTTGAGAACTACACTTTACAACAAATGAGATGATTTCAATTTTCCAGCTAGGATTATTTCTTACCAGCGGCACCTGGATATAGAGTGTATATCTCCCAGTTGATACGATATTCAATGGCTTGCATTTCCTAACATGATTTACTTGATAGAGGGTTTTTGTTAACAAGGAAGCTATTGCATCATGAATTTCAAGTAGTAAAGTTTGAGTCGTTGTTTCGAAAGTTTTACGGACGCCATATTGATTTGTGTAACCGTTGTGGAATATCTGTGTTACAAATGACCACTTTCGTAACATCAATCCTATGCCTTTTAACTCGATTATGACATGACACAATGCAACTCATCTCCGGATTTTCACTTGCAGTGGCCATGCGACGGGTGCAGCATGTAGAGCAGAAACTTCAAAACCACCAGAGTTGACCTTGGTTTTTTGCTGTATCTCAAGTTTTCTGTATAAGGTTTTGTTTTAATTATTATTCTATGTTTATTTATAGTTTTTCTTTTTAAACCCGTTTATGGTTGGGTCGTAGACGTTCGTATCTTTACTGGTTTCATTTTCACATCCCATCCACATGTCGAAATTTCGTAATTCGGCCAGATTCTCAATTATCATACATCATATATCAACTTAAGTTAACTTAAAGTTCAATATACACTTATCATATATAGCTCAGTACATATCAGTCTGGAATATTTCTCCCTATTTCAACATTATCAAATTGTTTATAAAGTTTAAGTTTTCGTAAACTGTTCTTTTCTAGTATGTACTATTGCTTTGATGACCATTTGTTTACCCCTCGCTGTATGAAGCGGTGGTATAACTTGATTTGGGTGTTCGTGCGTCCGTTTTTTTATTCGTCTGTTTGTCATTTTGTATCCGCTATTGTTCGTGTACTGTGTGTGACAGTTTTTTGTTAAACTTTCACAGAACCTGTCTTACTCATCTTTTTTCTAATTTTTCATCCGAATGATTTTCGGGGCTCATTTCTGCACGAAAGTGACAAATTTGTATTTGGTTTTCCTCCTAAACTAGCAGAATTGAATAAAACCTTTCAAAATTTTCACCATATTATGCCATTGTGCACTTCCTATTTTTTATACGAATTATTTTCCATAAGTGCAGATAATGGAAAATCACGCAAATTACAAGAAACCAAGGTGAACATAGTTTTATTAGAAGAATGAGTGGCTTTTGCTCCACTAATGACACCTTTTGTCTTAACTAATGTCAAGTAAGAATCCGGAGGTATGTCATATTCGGTTATGTCGTAACCGAAGAAAATTGTGGCTATGACAAGTGGAACACAAACAATCCACAAGAGTAAACCATAACTTTCTAAAAGATGATTTCACATTACCATTAAGAACCGTTGATTAAAATGATTCATTGAAAGCTGTTTCGTTATCAAGGAAATAATTTTCAAAAAAGAAAGACCTTTAATATCGTATCAACAGGGATATAAACTCCATATACGGGTGATATTGGAATATTGCTTTCAAAAATGGGAAATTGACAATGAGAACATACATTTATATAATGGTTAGATCTCAACCAACACTAAGCGTAAATGTTATCTACTATATGAAGCAGAATTCACTATGTCCGTATCTTTCATTTGAAGCTCAATGGGATAAATGCAGTCAACATAGTCACTAAACTTTAATTTTTTCAGACTTAGTGACAGTTCATCATTTTTATAGCGGAACGTGAGGGTAAGTGATAAAACTCGCTTTTTCTCGCTCTTCTTCAAGAAGCTCCTGTATAAAGTAAGAAACAAATCGGTGAAAACATAAATGGTTCATATAGAAATCACGACTCCGTTGAAATAATGTCAATCAGTTATAAATAAAAGCAAAGAATATATCTTAAGCATCTTGACGACGTCTATTTCATAGAACTTTTGTTTTTACAAAAATGTGGTTGCCTAATGATATACACATCATCACAAAAACTACCTTGGTCCGTGGATGTTGTCTAAACCAATAACTATCTCGAATTAAGGTCAATATAAATATAATATTCAAATCCGTATTTACTAGTGTAAAACATTATCATAGCCCATTTTCATTATTTCACAACGACATAATCAATGATTCGACGTTCCAAAACTGAATAAATTTGTATTTATTATATTTTCCATCCAATGTTTACTAACATTTCATGCAAAGGTAACAATCTTTCTTATAAATTCAGGCTTATTTTAAAGTAGACTTCACATTTGACAATGCACGGTAGCATGCATCAAGGCGATGAATGCATACTTATATGCAGGAAGTAACCATGTGAGACAGTAATATTAGTTGGACAGCAACCGATTTAATGGCTTCTAAGATCAAGACATTGGTCACGTGACAAAAGGTCAGAGTTTGAGGTTTTTTGGTAAACGTGCATGCCTCGTGGTTTTTTTTACTAGTATTGTCTTATTTTTACTCGTAAATTAATAAAACTCAAAGTGTTCAAATCTTGAGTGAATAAGATTTCATTATTCTTTATATTTATTACTAAAAAGTGTTAAAGTAGTCTAAATTGACGAGTGAAGTGAAACTTTTTTTCTGAAAACTTGCGTAGGTCCACGGAAAATCCCTAATTATTCCTTAAAAAGGTATGGTACCGTATGGAGGGGTATAAAATATGAAGTAAAACCATTTTTTAGATTAGATCTTGGTAATAATCGACCCCAAATTTACCGGCTTATTCGTGGCGAAGTGGAGATCAAAGGGAGATAACTCCGTACACGCATCGTAGGAAATTGCAAGTTCACAACAGTAAATTCGAGTAAAAGTGATGATTGTAGCTATATTTCGACACTTTCTTAAATAACTATTCCATATTTCACCTTCCTTTATTTTTGTAAGTTAAAAATTGTCATGGACTGGTTGAAAATGGCATTTTTTCAAGTAATTACAGGTTTTTTTAAACTTCCAAAGAAGGAAATAATTATGAATAACTTACTTTCCTCTGAAACTTGGAACTTATAATTTCGGCTTTCTATTCTCAAACACCCTTTTGATAGATGGAATGATACAAGTCTTTGTTTCACTTTCTTAATATCAACATTCTTAGAAAGCATATGAAAATAAACTCAGTGTTTGTACATGAAGCTTGTTTGAACATTTTTTAATATAAATGTCACTGTAAAATTTAATTAATTTATATTAAAAGAAAAAGTATTTAAAATAGAAAGTTTTTACTCTGGTGCACTGAAGGTGCACTGAAAACAGTGCATCAGTAATGAAATTTAACAAAGTTATTTAGACTGAAGAACTTATAGATTCTTTGTCACTTTGTATGCTGATCATATGGGAAAAAGTGATATTATACATACTAACACAGCATCAATTGTGAAACAATAGTTCTCTTCTCTAGACATTTTAATTTTAAAGATACGAGGCTTGCCGATCATTATATATATATTTAAGATTTCCCTCTTAAGAGTTTAGAAATAACTTATTGACAGAGGTTCTGTATGGGAATGTTTCTTTTGATATTTTTCACAATACATGTATGTTACCAAACTATCTTTGTTTTTCTATGATCTGAAAAGAGAAGATGGGTTCTTGCTATGTGACATCAACGATCGTCAGGCATGGTTATTGGTAGCATTTTTTCCTGATTTAACAATAGCAAATTCAGAGGAAAGCAAGAACCTTTCAGCGGATCCAGGACTTTTGGAAGGGGATTGATTATTACATATAACAGAAAAAATATCGGCGATTTCATGCAAAAAATTATTTATGTTCCAATCATGAGGGGTTCATAAGCAGAACTCATGTTACAATAGAATATAACTTTGCATTACATTACAATACAATATGGAAAAAAAAGGAAATGTAGACAGACATGCTTCAAAGGTGTGAACATTGACATTGATATTGAATGGAAAAAAGATAATTTGCAGTGGACAGAATTTAAACATTTTTATTATACCTGCTTTAAGATTAGAAACTATACAAAAAGTACAAGTTCTGCTGCTGCTCTAAATTAAAAAAAAAAGATCTGAACATCCAAAATAGCCAGAAAGGAATTTAAAACATTATAATCAACGCAAAGAAAACTGAAAAAAAAGCTGAAATGCATTATGATATCATGCAGTTCACAATATTTCTGTCATTACAAGTGAAGTTTTTAATTTTTTTTTTAAATTTGAATTCAAAAGTACTACAAATAACTGTTGAGTCCTTTAATTAAATTATTGATTGAATAATGAATGATTAGTTAAGGTGATCAGTAAATAGAGTCTGAATATGCTTTTTTTAAATAATAGAGTGTTATTATGTCATAAAATTTACTGAATCATTTTCAAATTTAATCCAAATTCATATTTAACAATAACTGCTCTAAAATGCATAGGCAACTGAAGTAGAAAAGAAAACAAAGCTAGCTTAAATACAGTTAATTCAAAAAATTTTGAAGAATGGACAAAAATGAGAGATTCATTATTCCAATGTCTGAAAAAATCTTCATAGTATGAAATCAGAATGTGAGTTCTTATTATTGCAATAATCACTAAATCGCATTATTTTTATTAATAAAAACCTCACGATATTTCTGAATTTACAGCATTAAGCTTGCCAAACTCTGTGCACTACATTTCCTAGGCCTAAATGTGGTTGTGACAATTTTGCTAACTTTTACCAAAAATTTCTTTTTTATGACATAACTAGATTATTACCATTTCAGAAAAAAGTTGCATACAGTTATATATGTATTACATATCAGAATGCTAGTTTGTATTATTGCAATTTATTATTATTAAATTAATAAAAGAACATTAATTATTTTTGAATTTATAGTTTATTTTTTGATAACCCAGAATATTAATCTGGAATCAGTACTTACATGTATATACTTTAAATTAGGGAACTTATTAAAATGAATTGTTTGCACAAGACAGTAATAACAGTTGACAATTACAAGCATAGTGACACCAATTATACAACCCAAATTTTATTGTTGATTTATGTAAACTGAAATCTTTAAATGACAACATGAATCATTGCAGAATGTTTTTTTCAAATGATTTAATGTTCGTAAGTCATTTACTTCAAATAATTAACCTGTGCTAAAAGAAGGAGATGTGGTATGATTGCCAATGAGTTAACAGTGTGATAACTATCCACCAGAGTCCAAATAATGTGGCAGTTAGCAGTTATAAGTCACTTTGCAGACATCAACAATGAACAAAACCGGTTCATTGTTTTCAGGCAGCATAGGAAAAAGAGGAATTGTGGCTTGGTGGCTTACAAGAAATTATAAGAAATATAATAATAATAATATAAATAAGAAAATAAGAGAGACAAAAAAGACAGGACTACATTGTAAGTCAATGGGCTATATATAAAGTGTTCCCTTGCTAATCCTTAGAGGAGCTGCTCTATGCTTAGAAAAGAAAGATGTTGGAGACTTAGCCAGAGCGAGCACACTTTTGAGACTTAGGAACAACAGAGTAGATGCGGGGACACCTGACGTATAGGCCAATCTGTCCTATTTGCACCCACCTATTAAAATTAATGCCTAGGGTGGGAATTAAACCCATTTACTCTATTGTTCTCTATGCACGTATATGAAATATATCAAATGCAAAAATGCAGCTATAATGTAAATATGGTAATTACTAATACATCATTATCATTATAGCCTCAATTTTTGTAAGGACCTAGCTAGACCTATTTCTTAGGCAAGGTGTATTATATAACTCTTGAAAGCAATAAAATTAATTGGTATATACTAATTATATCTGCTGTTAAACAATTATAACAAAATAGTGGTTATTTCTAAATATGCAGTAACATTGAACAACGTGCATTTTAAGTAAACAAACATCACTGAACGACCACGTGTTTGTCTGCTATGCTTGAATTATAAAACGACTCATCAGCTTTATTTACACGAATTTTTGCTAAGACAGATGGTTAAACATGTCTGTTTGCATTAATAGCTTTGTAAAAAATGTATTTATTGTAATGACTTGTGAATGCATAGAAATATAATGAAGATAACATTGATGTTTACCGTAAAAAATTTAATACACAACATTCCAGAGATGTACACACCAATAACATCCTACTTTTGTAACGATGGATGGTAACGTATAACCACTTATATAACAGCAAATGTCATTGGATAAGCTACCCGAAACATAAATAATTTGCATATTCATGGCCGGACACGCAATTGTATCAGCTTTTGTTTTGATGGAAAATGTAAACATTGGAACCCGCCATTTTGACGTAGGAAACAAACTAATTTTCAATCTTGGATTAAAGGACATTGCGCACATTGCCAGCATATCATCCATAACCAGTCATGTGAAAATATATCTTTTAATTTGTTTTCTACACTTACTATTCTATGTTTTTGTTAATTTAATGTTTTAATTTCCTACAGAACGGAACATCGTTCTCAAATACGACGAAGAAAAAATATAGGTGGCGCTGTTTATGGACGTAAACATTTTACATACGGGTACTTTTTGTGTCGAGAGATTGACCTTTATCTGTCAGATTCAGGCGTTTGCCGTTCGACTGATATGTTATCTTTTAATGGAGACTTCTGATATTTGGCGTGTTGATGTATCAGCATAAGACAATATGTTACATAATATCAAAAATGAATTTGACCACAGGAATTTCAACTTAATTCATTTTGGCAAATAAGCATCTCTAGATCTTGTTATTTTTAAGGGGTTTCAAATTATGATTTGCGATATTCCTGTTTCTTTACCAAACTATTAAGTGTTATTTTATATATTTGGTCGAGGAACTCCGCAAGTTCGGCCATTTTCAAACGAGCACACGAAGGATAGGAAATATATCTGTTTTTTTTTTTGTTGTTTTTTTTTTGGAAAAAAGGGGGGGGGGGGGGGGGTTAAAATCAACAGATAATTAAATTCCTTTCTATCCCGACGTGTGGCATATAATTAATGTCTCTTAGACATCGAATCACAATCTGAATTATATTTAATATATAAGTCTAATGAGAAATCGAATCAACCATAGCTCAACGTTCTGAAGATTAGATTCTCATCAGATTAAAGTCTGGTCCACGTCCATGCAGTATTGCCAAAGAAGTAGGTCCAATAAGACCCCTTTATGGCCCCAAAATATAGCAGTTTTACAAAATTGTTAAAATGTAAACTTAGATCTATTAATTGGAAAGAAGAATACTTCTGCTACATAAATATGGGCTATTTTTGCCAATACAATGCACATATATCGGGTACTATCATCATTAAGTCATGATAAATTACTGAAATCTTCACAATGTTAGCATTTGAGTCAAATTTTAGACGGTTTCCGTCTTAAATGGAAGTGGCTGCATTTGTGTTCATTCTTAATATTTAAATGTAAGTTGTATTTGATGATAATACATAACATATATAAAGGTTGAGAGTGAACACCCATGCGGCCACTTTCATTTTTGACAAAAACCATCTGAAAAGTGACATATTATGGCATATTTGATAGATTTTTCATATTTAAGCTTGAATTTGAGCGTCTTTAATGACTAATTCAGTTCAAATCTTTCACATAAACTAATTGAATCGACTAAAGTAGACAATTAAGTGTTTAAAAAGTGTCCAAAATCTTTCATCAGATGAATCTGAAATCTGAGGCCAAAATCAGCCCTTACCGGACTTACTCCTTTGTGTTTTCGGAATCGGTAGCTTCAAAACTTATACTTCTTCATCTACCTATTATAATTCCAACGTGAACGGAATATAGAAATCAAGGTAAACGAAAAGAGAAAATCATCATTGGAAAGCACCGTAAGTTGAATTGTGTGTGATAGTGCGTCCATATATATATATATATGTAAGATAGAACAAAAATTTGGGACATGCATGCTGAATAATTAAAATCCTTCATTTAATAGAATTTTAAATGTGTTTTTGGTGTTCAGTTGGCAACTTTCACTTTGTACATTGTTCAAAGTTTCGTGTCTTCAAATGTTTTTTCTGTGTTTACATTTTTATCGGTAAATTTAGTTGAATTGATTAAATAAACTGCATCTGCCAAATCGTAAAGCATATTCTCTTTTGGAAAGTTTTCAAAAAAGTCAGCTGCTCTTAGGGTCTCCAAGATTTTTGAAGAACATTTGACAATGTATATCTCTATATCAACTGCTTTATACTCCTTCACAATCTGAGTAAGTACGTTTATTCCAGATAAGTCTACGTTACTAATCATTTGAAAGTCAAGAATGATGTGACGGACATTTTCTCCAAGTATATTTCCTTTTTCATTTATTTCTTTATTTTCTACTTTTACGATTTCATCTTTTTCATTTAATTTCTTAAGCTTAATGGCGTCTGCAACTTGACTGTATAATATTTTTCTAAAATTGTCTGCATTCGCAAAATATAGTGGTGCTTGATACTGGAAGATTTTGATAGAACTGATTTCGATGACATGAACACGGTTTTTCGAATCTACAAATATGTCCTCTCGGTCAGAGTAGCCAATAATTTTCCCGGACGCCATCTGATTTTGAATCACAATGGATAATATTGAAAAGCCTATGCCAGCCATTAGTCCATAGTCCAAATCCACAAGTACAGATACAGAACAAGTAATAAGCCAAATTATACAATCAAATTTGTTTATTCGCCAAAGCCTTGGTATATCTCCAAATTGTATCAATAGGTTCTTCATAGCCACAATTATCATAGCTGCCAAGATTGCCACAGGCAGTGATTCGAAAAGACTTCCTATCCACAAAATAATCAGCAGTATTATAATTCCAGTTGGTATGGCATTCAATGTTGATTTCGCGCCCATATTGCTAAGAACCATTGTCCTAGGTGGCGCTGTTGCTTGGGGAAAACAAGAGAAAAACGATGACCCTATGTTACTAATGCCATATGCTATTATTTCCTGGTTATCATCAATTGTGATTCCATGCTTTTTGGCGGTCAATTTCGCTAATGATATTGTCATTGCTAGAGATAATATTGCCATTACAACACAATCCATTATCATTGTGGATGCAGTGTGTAAGGACGGAACTTTAGGCATAGGAAATCCAGTAGGAATATCTCCTACAATTTTTACATCGAATTTTTCTTCGAATTTCCCGAAATATGAAACGATAGTCCCTACTACGACAACGATAAAATCAATAGGAATCGGTATTTTTATGCGATCTTTATATCTTTCGTTAATCAGAATTTTTACAGTGAGTAATAATATCATTGTTATTATTGCAATCACAAGTTCTGAAATAATGGTTAATTTTATATTTGAGAAAAGCTCAATGTACATCTTTATTAGCTTTCCTGCACCAGAATGTGGCGACACGGAGATTCCAAGCATTTTAGAAACCTGGCTAGAAGCAATATGAATCGCTGCTGCTGTTGTAAAACCTCCTATAAAACTAACGGACATATATCTTGTCAGAAATCCAAGACGACAAATACCAAGACCAGCTAAGATTAATCCTGTAAGTAAGGACGCTGTCATGGCGGCTCCAATTTTGATGTCCTCCAAGTCGTTTTGTAAGAAACGAGAAGAATTATTTCCCGCAGACTCATCTGAATAATTCATTGATGAAATTAAATGCAGTTTGTTGCTGTCCAAATAGCGATCAGCCTCGCGTTGGGCAACAGTCTGTGTCAAAAGAGCCATTACGGCATTAGACCCGAAAGAAACATGTGGAGACGTCCCAAACAACATATAAATCAAAATAGGAAAGAAAGTAGTGTATAATCCATTAATTGGTTGGAGTCCTGCCAACATTCCAAACCCAAGTCCTTGAGGAAGGTGTAAGAATGATGCTGTAAGACCGCTCAGGAAATCACCTAGGATGTTTTGCGTTTTGTATTTTTTAATAAATTTGATTACAGGTAGCAATGTTGTCAGCACTTTCCAAGCGCGTGCTCTAGAGCAAAAGCAGTTGTCCATGATCTTTCCGATTTTTGAACGTCTTTTAACAGGTACCTTATAATATACGTTATCAAGTGTTTCAGATGAGTACCATCTTCTTTGAATAGATATCAAGTCTTGGGATTTTAGTTTTACTTCCATTGTTAAAGTTATCTGTAAAATAATTGGTAAGCATATATTGTATGTAGTGAACGGCTATAAGACTGATAGACAAATGAACATTACTTATACATTACCAAGTATTCGGGAAAATAATAAAATTGTTTTAAATGGTAACTGAGCATATTGATAATGATGAACTTGTAAACAGCAGTCATTATCACACATAAATAGTGCTTGCTGAATAGTGTGATACAGGCACAAGGAAGACCAGTAACAATTAGACATTGCCATACTTGTAACTAGTTTTTGTTATCACAAGATATACCATTACTTTTGTTCTTCCCTGAAATATACATTTTAACATGTTCTGTTATTCCCAGATTAATACAAGCAAAAACAAACTATTTTTTGTTGAAATACAAAAACTATTTTTGTTGAAATGTTATGGCAAATGTTTCACACATTAGTTATAGGCACGTAGATTAACGGCAAAATGTTTAGGAGGCACAGCTATTTTTCCTGCCATTATATATATGTGTGAATAATTGTAGATGCGGGTTCTACGTCAATGAAACAACAACTCAAAGATAAAAATAGCAAAACGACTTCCAGCATAACCAATGAGTTTTATGTACACGAAACGCGCGTCTAGCGTAACAAATTATTATCTGGTATCTTTTATGAGTTTTCACAACCACTGTGTGGATGCCATTGTTGGTGGACAATTAATCAATCTTATTGCACTTTAACTGTTAACAATTTACGATCTTTAATTATTAGCCTATGCTTAAGCATGAAAATTAAAATCAGAACTTACGAAAATCATTCATTCTGATCAAAAAGTTACATAATAAACAGATACACAGGATTTAATATTAGACAAATTCAAGACATCATTGATTATTCTGAAAAATTTCGATTAGATGGTGCAATTTTATTTTTCAGACTTTACTAAGGCTTTCGACTCACTTGAGTGGTGTTTTATGTTTGAATCTCTAAAAAAGTTTGGTTTTAAGAAAGAATTCATTAAATGGGTTGAAACTATATACACAGAGATAAAAGGGTGTATTTTAAAAGACGGATTGGTGTCCGCCCCCTTCAATACATTTTGTGGGATTAGACAAGGGTGTCCGTTATCCCATCAAATTAAGGGAAAATATGCAACTAAAAGGATTTGAAATCAAATTTGATTGAAAAATCTAGCTTGCAAACAATATGTCAATTAGCAGATGATACGCAACTGTTTTTAAAGACACACAAATATATAAGTTTAGCCTTTAATATTATTGATACTTTTTTAAGCCTTTCTGGACTTAAATTGGATAGGAATAAAAAAGAAGGTCTGTGACTTGAGAATATTAAACATTCAAAAGATAAATTTGAAAATATAAACTGAAAACAAGACCACATTAAAAGTCTAGTAATATGTTTTGGGTACAATTATCAAGAATGTCAAAAATTGAGCACAGAGAGGCAAATTGCTTAATGTGAAAAATTAATTCAAGAATGGAACAAACGCAACTTAACATTAATAGGAAAGATTACTGTAGTAAAGTCTTTAATTTTACCAAAAGTAACATACATTACATCAAGTATGATAATAACAAATGAAATAAAGCAAAAGTTCAAAAATTTAATATATAACTTTATATGGAATGGAAAAAAAAGACAAAGTTAAACGTACTACATTCTGTAAATAGTATCTTGACGGAGGATTACAAATGATTGATTTAGACTGCTATTTAAAATCATTACAAATCAGATGGGTTTTAAAACTTATAAAAAGGAAAATGATAACTGGAAAACTATCCCACTAATTTACCTTAATAAATTTGGGAAAGACTTGCTTTTACTCAGAATGAATTTAACAAATGTTAAAATGCTTAACACAATAACTTTTAAATGTTTTACAGAATTCTATAAACAATTAATTCAAACATAGGTAGAAGTAAAAGGAGGTCAAACAATCATACCAAGAAATTTTCTCGAGGTTAGAAAACAAATTGTATGGGGAAAATATCTTATTAAAGAAAATGGGAAACGTCTGTTCTTTCAAAACTTTATTGATAGTAACATTTTGTACATTAATAGTATAATAGATGAAAACGGACACATCTCATCAGAAACTGTATTAAAAAATTAAAGAATAAACAAGACTTGATTAGAGAATTTTCATTAGTTAGAAAAGCTATACCAAAGCACTGTATATATATTTTGGACAAAAAAATACTGTCTAATATTTTTTCTTTAATTCTAGCAGGTTTCCTTTAAAAAATCAACTTTCTAAAGTCTGTATCTCGAACAAGGCTACCATTGTCGCCTATGTGGAAATTAATTGTGTTTTGCAATATTCAGTGAAGCTTTAATAAAAGTATATACAATATAGGTGAAGAAACTAACCGTATTCCGGTAATCATTTGATTATGTAAAACGGTTCTAATGTATACTGAAATATATCTAACGTTATAGATCTACTTTATTGAATATTTTATCCAAGATATTTAATAACTAATATATAGGGATACTTAATTGAAGCTGTAGATTAAGTAAATTGGTGGACGTTTCTTCAATATCATCAAAACGGTTATTTCTATAAACCTAATAAAATTGTCAATTATTCGAAACACTAAGATACCCAAAGGCATAGATAGCATTAGTCGTATTTAGCACAACCTTTTGGAATTTTCAGTTTTCAATGCTCTTCAACATCGTATTTGATTTGGCCTTCCAACTGTTTTGATTCGAGCGCCACTTGTGAGTCTAATGTATACGAAATAGGCATCTGGCGTTAAAAAAATTAATTCAGCCTGGTATCTTTGATGAGTTTGTTTGGAGGGCATCATACAGTCTTCTACAATAGACAGGTGTCTATACAATATATCAAGCTCTATCTAAATAGTCCAGAGTTTTTAATAGGGAAGAATACATTCAAAAGAAACATTCAAAGATATTCCTTAGAAATACCAAATTCTCCAAGTAAGAATATTAATAAAGATATAACAAACATAACTACTTTAATTATTCTAAGAATATATATATATCTAGTTTTGTTAGTCCAAGATCATGATAAACAAAACAATTTTAGTCTAGTACAGTTCTACGATTTATATTAATTAAATAGAGCACTAACGTGACATAATTCGGTGACTGACTGAAAAAAACAACACATTTAATACATGTTTATAAAAATTTACCAACATGATTTATATATATATGTATCGAGCAAACTACGCATGTTAACCATAACCTAACACATTTGTCATTCTTTCTGTTAATTTCTTACAAGTACTGAACATACAAGGATATGTAAAATATAATTATGAAGAAATGAAAGACAAGTTTCAAAATGGGGAAAAGATTTCTTTCACTGTATTCCCGAATCATCAAATCGAAATGAAATATGAATTGCAAACGAAAGGCGAATTTAAACGGACGCAGAATATAAAAATAAAAGTAAATATATTTTAAAATAAAAGACCAAAAAACTCAAACAGGTGTCCGATGAGTCGACAATTTTGTAAATAAAGTGCAATTCCTCTATAAGGGCATAAAAAAGAGACTGCCAAATTTAATGTTACAGGTAACGAGTCTAGAATCTCAAAAGTGGTGAGAATTCTATGGATGCTATCTTTGTGTCAGAAGCTATGGCAATCATAAACAAATGGTGCGTGGTGCACGGAAGGACGACGATGTTACTAATGGAAAATCGGACTAAACGTGTGATATAGAGGTTGTTAAAATTCGTATTCATATCCATTACATTGTAACGGACGGGTGCTCTCGTCTCATGATTCCCTGATGGAATTAAATCATGTTTATCAGAATATCTAACTTGGTGATACTTTTTTTAATTGGTTTTTGCTTAGTTTCATGTGGCTATATATCATGCACATATAAGACAATATACCCTGCTTTGATCTGCAAAGTAGTTCGCCAGAAGACCTGTCGCCCTACTATACATGGATACATACTGTAAACTCCTATATGAGAGGTAGCTAGTTAGAAAAGAAGCAGCTACAAATTTGATTAAAGTATATGGTTGGCCTGATCGGACTTTCCACGACAGATGTGAGTACGCTACAGCATTACCACAGAGACAGTAAATATTGGCAGGACATTAAGAGTTTATAGAAGTCTCCAAGGCTAAAAAAGTCTCGGCATAAATATAATTTTGATTATTGAAAAAAATATAATTTTCCCAAACTTAACAAAAGTACATTATATAAGTTTTAAGGAAAATTATGAATATTGTAAAAATTATAATAAACATACCTTTAGTTATATATTTGTACACTACAAACTCAGATGAGAAGTAAATATTTTAACTAACTGTTTTCCCAGATATACATAATATACATGTCATACTATTTGCTTGTGTAATTAATTTTGCATGTAAATATATATAAGATCACGTGAGAAACAAAACTAGTATCACTTCAGGTACAGAAAGGAAAGAAAATATAAGGATTTGAATGTGGAGAGTTTATTCACCTATATTATCTACAAAAAGTGGAACGTACGTAGATAACTATATTTTACATACATTGACTTTTTTCAAACTAACTTGTGTAATGTAGGGGTAGCAGCAACCATAGTATTGTGAAATTATCTGTTTCACATGATACTTACAGATGACAGAATAAATTCCTTGCGATAAAAAAGCATTTAAGTGAAATTTTAGTAATTGAAAATACTGAACTAAACTAGCCGATTTTTTTCTGGAAATCTGATTATCTGTTAGATGTATAAAAATAATGAGATATATAACAATCAATAAAGACCAAAGGACAACGATGATAATAATCAAAGCTCGCCATTGGTCTTTAACAATAATAAAAACCCGTAAAAACAAAACAAAAACAAAAAATAAAAACAAGCAAGCCAAAAAAAAAAAACCAATAAACAAAATTAATAACAACAACAAAAGAAACCAACACAAATGTAAATGTATCTAAGCTAAAATGAATACCCTCGCGACTTTCAGATGCACATACGGTCTAACCATCTGTAATTCCTAAAATCGAAGATTATATCGAACATA